GGGGGGGGGGTGAAGATCAAACTTTATAAAAAAATTTCATCTCAGAATTCAGCATATTTGCTGAAAACATCTTAAATTTCTTAAAAAAACATTAAATCTTACATAGTATCTTAAATCACTGAATCAGTGATGACTTTTTATTTCCACGTATAAAGGGTTTCATATAACATATACTATCTCCACCCAAAATACTCATTTCTGAACAAAAAATGACCATTTTGTTCAGAAAAATGCCGTGGTTTACCAGTAAGTTCATGTTTCACATCAGCTAAAGGTGACCATTAACGAAGGATCACAAGTTTGCTCTTTTTTGTTCCTTGATGAGAATGTTTACAGCATGTGTTATGTATAGGCAGTACTCTAGTAACATCCACTCTTCATTCAGCTCACCCAAGGTAAAATTCCATGATACGCACATGATACTGCTAAACCATTTAACTTTGCTTCTTTGTGTCATGTTTAAACCAGTATGTAAACAGAAACGTATATCCAGTAGAAAAGACTCATTTTCACATGCAATTCTGTACAGTGCATTCTTGTTTCTCAGATTATTTGAGAAGTCTATTTCCACACAAAATATGTACATTTGCACTATATACATTTTCCACACACTTAATTTAAATGTCTTCTTGTACCTCCAGGCAGCCACAAGGTAAACCCGAAGAAAATTTCAAAGAATCTTTTCAAGTTAATGCCTTGACTGATCTTGCATTGCTGAGAAGATGAGTAGTCCAGAAAAAAATCCAGCTATGCATAGCAACCTTTTCAGCAGGGTTGAGTTATCTTTAGGAACCACAATCTGTGCTAGATCATTAGTGATCTGAGAAATTTCATGTGCCACACACACAAATATAAAAGTGCTGACAAGAACATTAAACATCGGATATCCAGGAATGAGCACCAAGATCCCCTTTGTGTCTGCTGCCAGCCAAATATGGTACTGGCAAATGAAAAGCTAAAAGAAAAAAAAGAGCGTGTTTAATAATACTTACAGATAAATATTTTTACTTTCGTAAAAACATATAATTATTACTATCGCATCAACTGACACACTGTACTTCTGCTGAAGTCAGACATCTATGATTACATAACATAGAGAAGCTGTTTTCCATGTCTTTGCCGTAAGACAAAACTATTAGTCTGTCACAGTACATAGCAAAATGGGTTTGCTTAGCCCTTAACCAAATATGGCATAGGGGAGCATTGTTTACATTATGTCAGAACTGATGAGGAATACGCCTCCACTCAGTGACTATGTCTCTGGTGAGGGACTGAACTGACATGCCTGCAAATAAAAGACAATGCTTCAATTGCTGATGAACGCAAAGGTCCCTGGAGTCGATCAGCAGCTTAAAGTTCACCAGGAATCAGAACAGGAAAGTGTGATCCTTTAAAAAAAATTCAAAATCATGTACTACATATGCATTGTATTACAGGGAGTTTCTCCTGTAAGTTCCTTTCCCTTTCTAAAATATATTTTAGTATTGCAGTAAATTTCAACTTTTTAATATTACTGAACAGCAAATAAAATGGAAAGCAAGATAATTCCTACTGTTTCAAAATACCCAGTCAATGGAACAAGATAACATTTGCACTGAGGAGGGTTTTGTTTGTTAAGTTACACTGCCTATTAATGCAGGAAAGCTTTCTAGGGCAAACACATTTCTAAGTGTACTTCTCAGTATAATTCATGCTGATTCTTCAACGGGCTTTAATTTTTATCTTTCAACTGCATACACACCACAGCTTACTCTAGCATTAAATCCCCACTCTCACAACCCTAAACTGCCCACCCCCCCGCCCCCAGCATAAGAAATAAGTTTGCTACTGTGACAATGCTATTTCAGCTATGATTTTTAAGTGTAGATGGAAGCTACAATGCTAAAAGAGGTCAAACACAACAGCATGGTATTAAATAAGCCAGTAAATGTTTTCACTCTTTATGTGTTATACTACAATTTACATAGTAAAACCACTTTACATTTCTAAGGTTCAATTCACTCTACTTCTGATCATTCTACTTACCTCTAGAGAAATTTTGCCAAACCAGGCAAAGAATGAGCTATACACAGATCGGACATATCCAGGAATGTTCCTGATAAGGATGAAAGCTAAAATCTTTTTTTAAAAAAAAGAAGGGTTAAAAAAAAGTGACTGTGAATGACAAGCACATTACGCACAAACAGAAAAGGTTTATTCATTTCCCCCGTCTAAACTGAAGTGCATCATGCATTAAATTTTCTTTAAAATCTAATAAACGTATAAACCAAACAAAAATCCATGCAGTTTATACTTAATAAAGTAGGTCTTGAAATTGCAGATCTCTTGTACACATTCTTACAGCATAGCAAGTCACATTTACATCTTCAGTAGAATAATGACCTTGATGTTGATAGACACTACTATACACTTACTAGGCATGGTCACAAAACATGTTACACCATGCCAGCCTAAAATGAAGGTAGCCACAAATCTGAGTCAACCCTCAGTTTTTAAAGAGAAGGTGTCAAAATGGACAAATAATTAAGTCACACATGCTGCTCCTCAAGAAAGCAGGACAAACTATTAAAAACAGGAAACAGAGAAGGAACAGAATCAGACAGCTGGGGTACAGCAGGGCAGGGGACACAGTAAGAGGAAAATCTAAATTCAAGAAAACCACATGCATGCCCCTGTGGCCCACCTCTTCTCTGCCTAAAAGTGACTACAGGGTCCCAAAGGTTGCTTCCTACACCAATACCTCCCAAACACTCATGCTTCCCTACAGCTGTCTTCTTTTCCACTGCTGTACAATCAGTGAAAAGTTGGGTCTGAACTTGAACAGTGCATATGAAACCTACACTAAGGCCATCAAGGTTAATCAAAAGCATAATCACAGTATGCGATTTCAGTGCTTAAAGGCAATGAAAAACAGTAAGCAATGTACTTAAACCCTTTTTCACTTTCAGGCATGAGAATGAAGCTCAGTATCTGACACTCCATGCTAAAGCAAAAATATATTTAAAAAAAAATTTTTTTAAAGCCCAAACAAGAACAGACTAGATTCTATCACTGTAAGGAAAAGGACTATCATTACCTGCACCACAGAAACAGAAGGATGTAGTTCATTGCACTCTGTCTTGTTTTTACAGCTACTAGCCCAAACAGAGTAGGTCTAAAAGATACAAAAATCAGTCTGTATAGCAATTATATGTAACATTAAAAAATTAAACAAGAGGTAAGCTATTTTGAAGTGCTTCAGCAGTAGCTGGTTCACTAAGATGTGGGACAGTAATAGAAAAAAGTACATTATGTTTAGTTTTGTGTTTCTCTCAAATTCTTCTTTGCAACTGATTAATACCATACTTTTATTCATACCCTAAGATACAGGCATACTGTTGACAATTTTTTCATCATAGATAAGCAGTCAAGAGTGGAGACAACAGCTGCATTATCTACCATACTATTTTTATGATCTAATTTTCTTGTAACCTTTGCAATGAACTGAGACAGCGATTACGTTTTCATCTACAGTTGACTGAAAGGAAAAAACATTTTAGTGAGTAGATAGCTATGGCTGTGCACAAAACACAGCTGCAGTATCTCCAGATCAAGATTTAATTTTTTAAATCAATATATTTTCTGAACAAGAACTTAAGAAAACGTATTCTTTAGAGATTTACAAACCTGATTATACTAATTACACTAGGTACGTACCAAAAAGGAAACAACTGAAATAAATAATAACACATTTGAAACTCTGTTGGAGAAAAGAGGATCTCCCTTTCCTTCTGATATCATCTGATGTTTCTGCAATGCCAGATAAATAAAAGCAAACAGCATCCCATGAAAAACTACCTGTAAAAGACGAACAGAATGCAATGAATATTTCATGGCTTTTACAAGTACTTCAGGTACAAACTCTTAACAGAAATGCTACAGGATAAAGTACTTGTAATACCAAAGTTTAGGTGTCAAAAGGTCCTTCCTAGATGTACTGAAGCAAATAAAAACAGGCTTTCTAAAATAGGTTGTCATAAGCCATGTTTTTAACTCAACTCAAAGCCTACAAATAAAGTACTCTTACTAATGCTTCACAGAGCATTGAAGACACAACAATGAAATTTCAAGAAGCTTTCAAGTACCTACTATCCCCTCTGCAATTTATGCCAGCATTGAAAAGGGCTTTCTGTGGGGAAAAACCATGAGTTTCTGGCCTTCTCCCAAGCTGGCAGGTGAAAACATTCAAGAAGCACTACAAGCGCTTCCCTCACTCACAGACACAGTTCTTTGAGAGTGTTTTATGATCTTACGCCAAGTTCTCATTAGCTAGCAACACGATGCTGTTTCAGGCCCATGCAGTGTCTGTCTTCTGTATTTATTTTGCGACTTCCTCTTTAGCAGCATCACAGAATATACACTGTTCACAAGCAACAAAGCTCCAAGTCTGAAATGTCGCAACGCAGTGTGTGCTGATGATGGGAGCAGCCCAGGATGTGACAACTGCGTACTCCCCAAGTTTCAGTTACTGAAGACCACCAGAGGGAGAAGCATGCAAGTGATCCCGTTAAGGATAAGGTTAGCATTTTAGAAACTCCACTCACCTCACCAAGAAGGCAAAAAAACAGACCAGTGTCTCCCTGTTCTACTTCCGCACATTGTAGGGTCAGTAATTGGAAAGAAAGCGCTTTCCCACTAGAAAACCTTTTAGAAATATGTGCAAGGATACTCTGGTTTGGGCAGCAAGACCCTGATTTTAAAAGCGTTTTAAAGGTTACCTTAAGAGAAAGATATCCTTAATTGATACAACTTTCAAAAATATTATTAAGAAAGCCACCACAGTAATTTGCATCATATTTCAATAACCTGAAGTGCTATCGGTGTTAAATTTTCACAGTAGACTTCTTGAGAAAAGACCAATCTAGGTCACTTTTTGACTTTATTTTTTAAAAGTAAACTAAGCAGGATCCAGCAGCAAATAAATCAACATCCATCCTTTAAGCAAGGCTTTGGCAGACATTTGCAGAAGTAAGGTGGATGTATCTTAGTCTTCTATTAATCAACCCACTGGGACAAACTCCTGCTTTCTCTAGAGGAAAGGAAAAGAACCCTCCCTTACGCTCAGATTAAAAAATATACTTAAAAGACCAGTATAAATTTATGCAAATGTTACATACATAGCGATCCAACTTCCACCTAAACCACCATTCATAGACATTCCCATTCAGTTCAAAACACTTGGACAGTGGCCAGAAAGAAAATATCTTCTCAAATGCGCCCTGTAAAAAATAAAGATGGCAAAAGCATTAACACTGATGTCAACCATATTTACTAAATTTGAATCAATATGCTGTCTTTTAATATTATAACATCCCTATTTCACTAGCTACATGGCATTACCAAAATAACAGGCTTCCTTAGAAGCTACTCTCCCTCCCAAAAGAAAAAAAAAACCACACACAAAAATACATCTTCAGATGAGAGAGGGTTTCAGTTTCATTTCCCTTAAAGGTATTGGCACACCTTCCATCTTGTACTGCAGGCTTGAAGATCCACTGACATGTTGGGATAACCACTGCATACTCTAGAGAAGACTACAGTTCAACAGGCTTAAAACTAACAAGGGATTAAAACCACACAATGCCCCCTGTAAAGTCCCCAAGTGACAAACTCAGCCCTTATTTCTGTCAGCTATACTTACAGCATGCAGTAAGTCACTAATTAGCACGATAATCAGTCTTTTGATGAGGTATCAAAGACAACACCAGGTCTCTAAGAGACACAGGCCTTCATATCACCGTATCACCATATGTATCACCATATGCTAGCAAAAACCAGTAACTTTAAGCACATCAAAAAAGCCCCACCCCAAAACCAAAGCATATAGACCTTTGTATTTATTACATTTGTAGTAGTATACTGAAAACACATCAAGCATTACAAATGAGTAAGATATAGAATTGTGGTTTTTTCCAGCATCCACACCAATTCAAATATGAAGAGAAACAACTTCTGTATTTATGATACAGGAGCAACTATACAAGTTACACTAAAAAGTAGAGATAGGTAATATACTCTTAGGTTGTCAAGGATAAAAATAGTCAAAATTTACAAACCTGAGAATATGACAGAAAATATATGCATGTCAGTAAGCAAATCAGTTTCAGCAGTAAACCAAAGTGCCATAAGCAGTTCCCTGAGGAAGAAATAAATTAATCAGTATACAGTCATCCATTTTTCAATAGCAAAACCCAGGACACATTAAACAATAATTGCCAACTATTTACAGTAGCTATGCTTAGTAATAGATACATTCATAAATAAGTGTTCAAATATCACCAGCAATATTTTATCACTATCTACATTTACATATTAAAATTTTACTTTAATCAGTTAAAATAAACATTCACAGCAATTATCAATTAATTAATCCTAAATTAAGCCTCATGTCTAAAACAGGGACAACATACGTGCAGAAAGAAGAGAATTTAGGTGTTTAAACAGAAACACTATTTTAAAGCCCCTGCTTTCCCAAACACTCTGCACAGGCAGTCCTTATTCTAGGTGAATGTAAATAAATAAATAAAACAAAATGCCCAACAGCTTTTGTCATGTGAAATAAGTACAGCACATATTATTAAACTTTGAGGTACCAGTTGTACTCCAAAGCTCAACTGCAGGTCATCTCAGCTAGCACACATAGTGTAATCTGTGTTTTTAGTTTGGATTCAGTAACATTATAGCTCTTGATAAAACACATTTCTGATTGTCAAAACTTACTAAAAATTATTCTAATATGACTGTAACCAGAGACAGTTTAGTTATCAGCTGTATCCTTTTTCAACTGACATGTAATTCGTAGAATCATAGAATGGTTTGGGTTGGAAGAGACCTCAAAGATCACCTAGTTCCAACACCCCTGCCATGGGCAGGGACACCTTCCACCAGACCAGGTTGCACAAAGCCCCATCCAGCCTGGCCTTGAACACTTCCAGGGATGGGGCATCCACAGCTTCTCTGGGCAACCTGTTCCAGTGCCTCACCATCCTCACCATGAAGAATTTCTTCCTAGTATCTAATCTGAATCTTCCAGTTTAAAGCCATTGCCCCTTGTCCTATCACTACAGGCCCTTGTGAAAAGTCCCTCCCCAGCTTTCTTGTAGGTCCTCCTTTAGGTACTGGAAGGCCACTATAAGGTCTCTCCAGAGCCTCCTCTTCTCCAGGCTGAAAAACGCCACCTCTCTCCACCTGTCTTCAGAGGAGAGGTCCTCCAGCCCTCTGATCATTTTCGTGGACCTCCTCTAGACTCGCTCCAACAGGTCCACGTCCTTCTTGTGTTGGGGGCTCCAGAGCTGAAGGCAGTACTGCAGGGGGGGGTCTGACCAGAGCAGAGTAGAGGGGGAGAATCCCCTCCCTCAACCTGCTGATCACGCTGCTTTTGATGCAGCCCAGCACATGGTTTGCCTTCTGGGCTGCAAGCGCACATTGCTGGGTCATGTTGAATCACAGAATCATTATGGGTGGAAGTGACCTCAAAGATCATCAAGTCCAACCGTTGAGCTTCTCATCAACCAGCACCCCCAAGTCCTTCTCTTCAGGGCTGCTCTCAATTCATCTATGACAAACTGCATTTCTGTGAACAGCTGTTTAACGTATTTTGACTATCTTACAAATAGACTGAGATCTCCTAACAATACCATTTTTTGTATGGTTATCACTGTAGTTACATGGAAATGTTTTATAGTAGAAAGAAAAAAAAAAAAGTCTTACCATTTGTTTTCTTCTGAACTATCTGAGGCCACATAGCTAAGGTGGCATAAATGATCATAAACCAGACAGTGACTAACGGCACAAAGTAGTAGAACTGGTAAGGTCGGTCCATCACTATGCACAGTACCACAACCAAGAAATTGAGACGAAATAAAACCTGGAAGTTGCCAGAAGAGAGAAGACAGACGATATATAAACTGGGAGGCAAAGCTTAGATGAGGGACATGTTTCTTTAGCACTATATGAAAATATCTATGTATTTTACATCTCACATGCTGATTACATTTCAGCTGAAACACAGGTAAGTATCTCACAGAACACGAACAATGTAATATAGGACTGCAGGCTGATTATGTAGTACTGGACCTGTCCTACGCTGGCCTACCTGGGTAGAGATAGCAACGAAAATCGGGTAAAACAGAACTGGCTATTCCCCAGGCTGAGGACTGAGTATTCCAGTTGCTGGATGCTGTTATTGCTTCTCTGCTTTCACTCCCATAGCTGCCTGGGCTAGCTCAGTTAAAGCCAGGGTAATGTCATTACCGGTGCTGCAGTTAGGCTGTAGGCATACATTTAATAAGCATGACGACCTGAGTTACATGACAATATAACACTTAAGAGCACTAAAAGATATATTTTTAACATTTTTTTAAAACTGCCCCAGTACACACTGCAAAACCTGGGAGGGAAACCACAAAAATAGGTATGTTCCTCAGCATCATTATGGTGTGAAAATTCATTTTCTTTATTAACAAATGTACGCTCCACTACACTGTCATTGGAAGCCTACCTGGATCGCTACTTATATATTGCTATATATTGTAAATTGCTACTGAAATGAAAATTCCATTGCTATATATGGGAAAATACTTGTCTTGATATTTTAAAGCCTACTTACATTTTTTACACTGTAAGTATCATTACATGCTATATGTTTGTATTAGATAAACAGTACCGATTACACAGGTCAGATTACATAGAAACAATAGCCATTTTAAAAGTGCAAACCTTGGTTAAGTGATCTTATATCACACTATGTAGGAAGTACAGATATATTATGGGTATTTTGCTATCTGAGCAAGTATCTTTATAAAAACTGTAAGTAGATATTCTCACCTGACACACTCTGTATACACCAAAGTCCCCTTTTATCCAAAAATATGAGAAGTGCCCATAACCTGTTTGGAACAGATATGCAGCAACCAGAACTCGAATGTGCATGTACACAGGCAAAAACTGTTGAGAAAAATAAAGTAACTTTTATAAATGGTCACGTAAATGCTTTTAGCTTTCCTTTTTTCCCCTCCTATTTTATGCTTTTTCTGCATTGCGGTGAATCAGGTTTAACTAAGAAAAGGAACATTATGCTACATTCCCCCGTGTCTTACTAAGCTCTTTTGGTGCCCTTACCAGTTAAGAGAAACTTAAGGAGGACTCTTTGAAAGATTACCTTCAGCAGTTTCAAGTTCAGAACATAAAAAAGAAGTGTTGCTAGTAATTAAAAATCAATTAACGTAATCTAAATGGAGGAAACAAGCACATTTTTTCACTGGTCAAGTAATACATAAAATGCTCTTATCAATGAAATCCACACTTAAAGAAAGCGAAAAATTAATTCTGTTAATACCATTTTCAAAACTACAGGAACAATAGCATTAGTTATTCATTCTATTCAATTCTAATACACATTTGCACTTTCTTTTGAAGTAACATACCCAAATTGTATTCCCATTTAAAAAAAATTATGAAATTCAAATCACTTACAGTGCTTGCTCCAGAGATATGATAAATCAAAATAACAAGTTGCATCCAGCCCTTCCATTCATCAGTCTGTTCTCTATTTAACACTTTAGTCTAATGCAAAACAAAACAAGAGTGTTGCTATTCCAAAAAGCACAATGAACATCTACAAAATGAGGAGAAAAAGTTCAAAACTGTAAAACACTTTATGGGCAAACAGGTTTCAACTGTAAAAGCCAGATTTTAACGTGATCTGCACTCTCTTGTAATCCAGCTATGCTCGCTTCCAATTTGACTGAGTGACGATGGCTAAAAGCGCTCATACCCATATGCTTTCAGAAAGCTTTTGCATCTAATTCCATGCAAACATTATATTGCTTGTCAGTGCATTTTTTGCAGATGAGTTATATTGATTTTGAAAATTTAACTTTCAATATTTAGCAATTAGTTGTTTACAAACTTGGAAACAACATTATAAGCCAGATGTCAACATGATCATTACCTCTTTGGTATTTTCGGTATAAAATACCCCCAAAACCAAGATATAGACAATTGGTATGAAGAAAGATGAATGCGTATAAAATTTATTTTCCTTCATGAAAAGATTTGCTCTGTCACATAGATAAAAATAGGTCATGATTAGACCAAGTTTGCAGAAGGAGTGTAAGAGCATCTCTAAAGTAGAAACATTAGGAGTGCTGATGGCAGGTTTCTTCTCCTCTCCACCTTCCAAATCAGTGCACGGTTTGTTCTTCCGATAATTATTCCGATGAATTAAATTGATAATTAAATATCCAATAATGGACAAAGTAAAGAAACAGAAAGCTAACTTCTGTATCAGAGTAAGAGGAGGCTGAGGCTGGCAGCAGGAGCCATCAATGGGCTTCATTATCTTATTGCAGTAGACATTCATAAGAATCATCGCGTTCTGTCAAAGAAATAAGTAGTTTTGTCAATTAATCTCTAAAAAAAAGGTTAATATTTTCATCATAAGAAATTTTCTTCTAGATCATGCACTGACATAAAACATATGCAATTCTCCCTTATCATTATATAGGTAAAATTTCACAGTACCCCTACATACCTCATTGCATTCAACAGTACAGTCAAAACACCTCTTCCGAACAAGAAACCCTTGACCTTCCTGAGGTGATAAGCAAAAAGACCTAATCCTAATCCTTACAACAGAAGGGTTGTCTCTATTGGTCATAAATGGAGCTATGAAGAGCTAAATGGACTATAATGAAAAACAGCTCACAAACTTGGGTTCTAAAGAGGCACAGTAATGAAAGTCTCTAAAACTTGACAATCAGACTGAAACCTGTGGTGAGATAGTATTTAGTTCATCGGGCACTACAAAGCAACTGAAACCTGTGAAGGCATGGAACTAAAACTGACACAGTAAGAGAGCTCTTTCACAAGGACAGCCAGATAAAGCTCAGAGGGACTCACTGCATGCATATATAAATTGGGAGGCTAAAGATAAGAAATAAAGTCAGTGGCACTCCATGCAACCAGGAAGGTGTATGTTGTGCGTTTTCTTATCCTTTTCATACTCCCTACTAAACAAAATTATATAGGCACATAGGATAAAGTTTAAGACTTATTTCTTAGCACTGCTTTACAAATCATTATCACCCTAACTCATTCATGCCAATGAAGGCACAAAGTTTGCACTCGGATCTAAAAGATCTAGTGGATTGACAGCTGTTTTAAAATAGCTATGCATTAACCTGTTTGCTATTGTGTTTTTTAAACATCCTATATAACTGACTGCACTCCCACTTATGGGGATCTTCTGAACAAAATTTCCTGAAGAATGTGCAGGTCCTCATTACATTCATATTGTCTGCCATTTCAGAACATTCACTTAAAATCTTGTTTTACTATTACTACTTTTTAATGTTGACCAGTGATAAAAACACTTACTGTATCTCTGCTTGATTCAGGGAGATGCAGGCCATCTGCAGACTTCACGATAGTTTCTTGTGCTATCAGTTTTGATACACTGAACACTTTAACTTTAGCTTTGGAATTGCGGGAGCTGCTGTTCAGAATACGAACAGCTGCTTCGTTATAAGCATCTATTTTCTCATTAGTGATCATTTTCCGACTTTCACTCAGCATATCTTCATAAACAGGATCTGAATTTGAAAGGACAAAGAATGAACACATTCATCTTCTACTTCACAAATACATTTGCTTAGCTCAAGTTGCACAGGCTATGTCCATTTAGCTAGTCTCAATTGTTTAATGGTACAGAAAAAATATACAGCAAGGAATGACTGATTGGTACAGTAACTTGGAGTAGTAACTAGAGTCATTTATGACAAAATGTTCTTATTGCCATTCCCCAGTTATGCCTGTGTACTTATAGATTAGAAAGCTTTGGCCAGACATGAATGCCTGTTTAATTGCCCCAAACCCATGAAAAGCATGTAATGCTGGAGTGTAGAGCTGCTTATGCCTTCTCTCAGTAATGGAATCTGCCAAGGAAAGACTCCAAAGCCACAAGGACAGAAGAAAGGCAGCAGAATAAGACACATGGGGTGGGGGGGGTGGGGGGGAAATCTCAAATCCTCTAGCTACTGCAGAAGAAACCAACTTCTCATTTCCCTAAGTTACAGTTCATAAGAATATTCCACTTGCTCCTGTTGATTCCAGTTTAACTGATGGCAGAAGCTCAGTTTTTCAGAGAAATGGAACATCACTTAATTGCCCGCAGGCTTCAGAAATGATGTATAGCTTAACACAAAGCTATATGGGGTTCTAGATCAGAAGGTCAGCTGGAGATCAGTAAGTTGCTACAAAAAGCTGCTGATGTTCATAACGCTGGTGAAACACACTCTATAGGCTGTAAGTTGATTCACTTTAGCTAGCTCATGCCTTCTTTTGGACAATCAATGTCTAGACGATTCTATGTGTACAGACTGCTTCACCTCTTATTTGTTCCATTAAAGAGCTGAGAGATGACTTACATGGACTGGATCTTTATCAACAGAGTGGTGGGACATGTCTGAGAGCTAATTGCTTCTGTTATAGATAAACATAGTTTTGAAATAAATGCAAGAAGATTAACCTGTTGATTCAGCTTAACCTCTAGAACCATCTTTGCTAGGAACTTGGATGTGGCTATAAGGGTACAGCTAGGTATATTCCTATCAGGGCTAAAAATCTGCCTATGTTTCTAAATAAGGTGATGATAATCTAAAATTCTGTGTTCTATGGCAGATAAACCAGGAGCACATTCTACCTGTGAGCTCAGTGTTCAGTGTCAGGGACATACGTTAGTTTTATTGAAGAAAAGCAAAAGAATGTAAGTTTGGTGCCATAATAAAAATCTCATAGACTCATTGTGAACCATGGTTTCTGGCTCCTAATCTTAAATCATCAGTGCTCAGTGCACAGAAGCAAGTTTCAATCCAGAGACTTAAATTCTCTATATTCTCAAGAGTATGTTTGTTCATTCTAGACAACACAGAGGATGCGCTTGTTGAACGACTCCTATTATTGACATAATCTGAAAATTTAATAGAACACAAACACAAGAATACAGTTGTTTCATGCAGCTGTGTTCCTGACTCCCAGGAGGCACATATGGAGCGCAGTACAGCAAGAACAGACCTGGCATATTGAGTCTGACAGTAAGCTAACAAAGACTTACGATACAGCAGACAAAATATTTTCCAGAGAGAGCATTAAAATCTCCATCACTAGTAACAGCTAGTGAGGTACCAGGTAGTTAAGGCTGCAAGAAAGGCCAGATTGGAATTCAACCAACATCCTTTTTACTCTGCAAGTAAGCAATATGGACTGTTTTCCATATCCTACAAGATAAGATTCAACAGACATTGACAATACAAATTGTTACCTACTGTTCATTACTTTACCTTGTAAGACCCAGTAAACATCACTACTTTTTGCTAATTTCTCCAAAAGAGGTGCAATTGAGGTGATATTGATTTTATATTGTGCGAGGGCTTCGTTGCTGCCATTGTGAATCTTGATAGACCACTGGAGAAATGAGGAAAGAGATTCAGAACCTGTACGTCTGAGGACCCTTAATTAACTGATTCCATTGTTCTGTTAGTAGCTATTTTTCATTATTTCTATAAAGTTAGATTATTTCTTTAGTCTTTGCTTTTAGAGTGCTAAAAATTTCTTTTGGACCAAGCAGCTGTCTAGACTGATAATTACATTTAAACAGACCATTTAAATGCAGAATATGTAATATTCAACTTAATGTATATTTGATTTTTCATAAATTAAATTATGCAAGATGTTTTAATTAAAAACCCCTTGACTTTGAACAATGACAAAGTAGCAAAGCCAGTCACATTATATAAAAATCTTGGCCAATTCAGTCAATTTTACTCCAGGAAAACTGATCACTAGCACAGAGATGTGTGCAAGTAAAACCTGACGGTGGTATCAAGATCCAATATTCCCATCTGTTTTGCAGATATCCACAAAGAAAAAAGAAAAAAAAGGGCCATTTAATTTTCTGATTTAATCTTCTACATGAAATGACTGGGAGAATGCTATAGCCACCTAAGAATTTCTCCAAACTTCTGAAAAGAATTTCCTACGCTGTAGGAAAAATAGATTTAGCTTTTTTTTTTTAACATATTACTGTATCTATACTGATTTAGTCAAATCTGTAAAAAAAAAAAATTTAGTCTTAATGTAGTGAACTCTCTAGTTATTTCTAAGTATCTACATAAAAATTTTGATGTAAGCCATGAACACTGATTAACCCACTTCCTGAGAATATTAATATTATCAAATATAAATGAGTTCTCATGAAAACATGCAGCTGTTCTGACAGGTCACACTCTGGAAAAAAAAGCAGTTTCTCCCAATAGCTAAATCTTTACTTGTGAAATACCTATAGTACTTAAACAGATGTTTTAAGAAACATATTCTATTCAACAGGAAGCCAGGAACTAAGCAGCAGAGCACTGTAGTGACATTCTCAGAACATCTCCTTTTCTCAAAATAAGCAAGCAACTGAGTTTTGTACTAGCTGGAGCTTCTCTAGCTTCTAAGATTTTACTTCTATTTATAAACTGTTACACAGTTGACATCTTAAGATGGACATGTCCAGACCAAAGTAGCATGACCAAACAGAGAGCTAAGTTAAAGATACAGGTAAGTTTCAAAATGGTGACAAGTCCAAGTGTACACACCAGTTTAATCTACTAGCAGGTTACCACACTAGTGCTAGCCATGGTAATGCTGCCAACGCATCAGATTTTTGAAGCATTTAATTCTTCTACAAGTCCCTCAAAACAGGGGATGTTTGTCTTTGGCAAACTCTAGATATCACTATGAATGTTTTGCATAAATATATTGGTGTTACAAAGAGCTGAGCATCACATGCATATTGTTGGTTAGTACCTCCTGCTGTCCACAAAGGACAACAAGCTATGGCTAATGTATATATATAAGTAAAAGGCATGATTTAACTAAGAGTCCTGTAGTTCTGCAACCTGACCTTCTGCATGCCAGAACACTATCCATATATAGTGGCATTTTCTGTGTGAAATAGAGTGACTCCTGCTAGTAAGACATGCTAGATTCTCAGACTGAGCACAGAAAATCTAGGCTTACTAAGCTTCCTAAAGCTCAAATATTTATGTGTATCCTACAGAGGAAGAGAATTTAGGGTGCCACCTGTAAGGAAACAGAATTTCTGATCCCTCGGGAAATGTGTGGAGGTCTGTATACACAGAGGACCTTCCCTTAAAATTGGGAGAATTCACCCTAGATTGGTATGCTCAGGATCTTCCAGATTGCAGAATGCCTGATCTCTCTGTAAACCAAACTGCTTTCAAAGGATTTTGTTTAAAATGGAACACATTCTTCCCCCCTCTGCATTTGAGCTGGTATGAAAATTAATAGCTAATTCCTTTCAAAGTCCAGTTCCAAAATATCTGGAATTAAGAGACATTAAATGTGGACTCTTGACTCCCAATACCAGCCAACTACTGGAATAGTCTGCTTAATGGGGGCTGTTGAATTCCATCCCTGGAAGTTGTAAAGAATTGGTTGACTCTTGTTAAGCGCAACACACGTATAACTGATTCTGCCTTGTGGTAAACTGACAGGTTAGGAGACGTCTTCAGGTCCTTGTTAGCCCTGTTTTCTGTGATGCTGCAGCCCACAGCAGTGGTGGAAACTTCCAGCAGAACAAGATTCAGGAAGTGCAATCTCTTTAGTTGTTGAATTATTCATGTAAAATCAGGGTTTTGCCCACAAAAGTCTAAAAGAAATATGGGCGCTCAAAAAGAGCACTCCAGATTGGGCCACGCTCAAAAGCAATATTTTGTGACTGAGAAGAGTTTATTAAAAATGCAACTCAGTTAGTATGCAAGTACTTTTATCGAACTTTCTTAATGAATGATCAGCTTTTAACAAAGCTACTTTATTAGGTAGGTTCCAGCTAATCAATGCTTATCAACCAGTATCGCTGCCAAAAAGCAAGTACTATACATTGTACAGCTATAATAAAATACACCTGATATTTTAGAAGTACTTGTTACAATAGCAAATTCACTGAAAGTATATTTTTAATGACAAATTGAGTTTAACAACTTCACCATGTAACCAGCTTGAGAGCATAAAAGTCATTCTACTAGAACTTGCTTCTTTACTAAAATGCCCCATATATGTGTAACTTACCGTGGCAGCTCCTGCTACAATTATATGAGGTTTTGCCACAGAACCCTAAGACAAAAAGTAAAAAGGAATTAGTTTAAAAATATTCACAAATTATATTTATTATTATACTGATCAGGTTCATTAAGACTTAATTAACTGTGACGCAACTTGTCCATCAGTTAATGATTACAAAAGAATAGACTGCAGATATATTAGAGAACAACAACTTGTGATATAGCAGAATTTTCACATAACAGAATCCACAAAAGTGCAAAGTACAAATAAGCATTTACAATCATTATCAATTTAGCAGCGTAAGTTCTCTTTAAAAGCTATGTAAACATCTTCTCCTAAGGTCAAGTAAACTGAAGATCATACTATTGAAGTACTTTTTCTCTCAGCATTGTCAGTTGGTGCCCCGGAGGTCTTCAAGTTACCTCTAGGACAAGGAACAGAATATGTATTCAAACAAAAGAGTACATGGAAACAAACAGTGCCGATCACTTCAGAATGAGTTTTGCCTTGGCACAGCAAGGGTTTAGCAGCTCTCAATTTTTTGTAGTAATCACAGAAAAAGAAAAACAAATTATAACTTCAGCTATCTTGATGGAAGGTGTTGTGCAAGAATGACCAACAGGGTAGCAAAAGAATCATTGAGGGCCATTACTAAATAACTCCAGGTTATTTAAAGGTCAACAAAGAAAGAAACAAGAAAAATTTAGTTGCCAATCTGTAAACATAATTTTAGGCTGATAATATGAAAACCTCTATCATAACTGAAATATGTAAAATAATTAGTATGTAATTTGAGGGAAATATTGAAAAAAAAAAAAATAATCAAGGCATTCTTGACTTTCCAAATTGCCTTTATCCTTCAGTTTGAAACACTTAAATTAACATAAATATGAAGTCATAGAATCACAGAATATCTCAAATTGGAAGGGACACATAAGGATCAAAAATGTTTGGTCACATAAAAGCGTAGCCATCACAGACACAGAGGAAATGAAACACCAAATCGGAGTAAAATCCTTTCAGCTCTTAGTAGGATGAATCAACCTGCTTCTAGAAAGTAGAGTTTTTCTGGTTTGGCTTGGGATTTTTTTTTGGTCCAAGTGAAGCCATCCTTGGGAAATCAGGAGATGCCCAGAAACATATACACCAGTAAGTACCCCCCTTTCACTATTTTGATGTCAAATTTCAGATCTCTGGTACGTAACTGACTGAATATATGTGATATGCTGCAGCTGCTGGACTCCTAGTAATTACAGTCGTGTGTATGAAAAAAAGAAAGGTAGTGGTCCTCAGTCAGTTACTATATTTTCCTAAAAGAAATATTTTTTAAGACAAACCTCAGTCCAAGATTTGATACGTTGCCTCATAGAGCTGTTAACTTCTGGATACCACAGGAAATCCTGTAAAATAAATGCAGATTCAGTCTGTAAGCTTAAAGACAAGCAGTAGACTAATAACAAGAATTCAAAAAACCGAACTAATTCAACTGTGAAGGAAAAACACTTGGCCCAAAGCGAGATTTCCTTTACAGGGAGCATGAAAAGCCTGATATCTCACTCTCGCATGGAAAACAGAAAGCAAGGGAAAAAAAAGGGAAAAACAAAACAAAACAAAACCCCCAAAACTTTACCCCCATGAAAAAAGAAGAAAATTAATTTGTAGTTCAGGAGTTGGGATTTCACCAAGAAAGTAATTTTTTAGCTTCTGCCAAATGGGATATCCTTGGATTCCAATGCAATCAGGGATAAAACCAAGCTCACATCTATTACTTATTTATTAGAATTTGCTTTTTGCTCCATTTCCCACAGTTTTTACCAACAGATTTTCTTTGTTCCAGAACATGGTAGCATGTATTCGTAATTTTCAAACAAAAAGAAAAACCTAACAATTTACTTTACAACTTCATAAATTATCAGCTGTTTAAAACTAATAGAGCCACGGCCATTAAATGCATCACCTACTACCATTTTTTTAGATGTCAGGAGTAGAGCCCAACCTCCATCCAGAAGGACAGTCTAGACTTTGGTTTAGTGCTATTACATCTCCCAGCTAAAGCCGTGACCTCCTACCATCTACTTACTCCCCAAGTTCAGAACTACTGAATGGACTAAAAATACATATTAAAGTGAAATGGCAGGGATTACATATGCAGAAACTATTGTGAGGAAACTTTATAATGCAGAATGTAGAAACACTACCAGCAGAGAGGAAATCTCCATCTTCCACTTGCACAGACCTAAGATTTTAGTAGTTCACTTGAGCACTGTCAAGTCACTATTTGACAGGAATCTGTGAGCAACCACGCAGCCCTCTGCAGTGGCTGAAGTATGGGAGGGTCAGTACGATGACTAGAAAGGGCAAAATTAAACTCTCCACTTGTTCCCAGTGATTTTCTCTTTTGTTGGTCAAGTATCTTCCACATTTAGATTATTGGGTCACAGCCATTCCAAATGTGAAAATTCAGCTACCACGTCAATAATGTCAACAGCAATATGGCACCAAAACAAGGAAGCAGCAGACTAGGAATATATTCTTAACTACCCAGACATCTCCCAAAAGCCCAAACCTGCCACCTCAAATCTTGGTGGTTAGACACCTACCAAGGTTTAAGAAATTTTGAAGACGTAGTTCTGTGTCAGGCTACACCAACATAAATCACATTGCACCGCTCCTGCCTTGTGTTCTGCCCCCTCCTTTCCAGCATTCAGATAACCATATGATAAGCCACATCAGACCTGACTAAAAAGGAATCCTACAAGGTAAGTTTTTGCCTGAATCAACTCCTAAAACAGCCCACTCACCAGCTGTACCAGGGCTAGTTACAGCACAAACACAAAAACATACTGTGAAGGGCAACAAAGTTGGACAGTATAGGCTTAAATTGCCATGGGCTCACACCCTAAAATGTTATTCTGTACCTTAAACTTTAACCGTGTACATAAACAGGTACTGAAAACTCACTTGCAGACAACTCAGCAATTCATGAACAGAGAAAGAGTTGTCTCTGTGGCATAAACAAATACATGACTAGCAGAATCCCAGCGCTGCCAACAGCTGTGATGGGAAGCAAAGAAAGCTACTGAGGACACCATTTCCATTGCCAGGGCACAGGAGAACAGAGTCCTTCATAAAACCTATCCTCAGGTACTTAAATATCCACATTATAATCAACGTTGTGGTTACTTCTCTGTGCAAAAACAGTAGAAGGAATACTTGTTGGGATAGCATAGAGAGCTCAATGGCAATTACAACAATTATGACTCCAAGTAAGTTAGCCCCAGATACATACTCTTACACCACTGGCACAGTAAACTTCCTGGCAAAAGCTATTCTTGGGAAGGCCAAATTATAAGACCTGACAAAAAGAAAAATGATACACACTTCCAGAGCTTATGCCTAAAGCCAACACAGAATACAAGTACTCAAAGCCAAAGTCTTTCAAAGAATTTAAAATATTTAAAATACAGTATGTTAAGATACACTCTGATATATTTTGTGGAAAATGTATAAAGACTGTTGACACTCTACAGCTTCTTTTGCCTTTTACAGCACTTATGAAAATTTTGAAAATTGAGCTCTGACTGCAATTTGGATTACATTGTATGAAATAATAATATGATTATGGCTTGCAATTTAATGCTAGATAAAAACTTACCACTTTAATTGAAGCAGATTTATCTTCAAATGGGATATTTCCATGCTGTCAAAAGAATCAAAACAATAAAATCAAAGCAAGACAAACTTTCAGAATGAAAAAGAAAACATTTACATTCCTATGTTAATTTGCTTTCATCCAAATGTTTATCTTCAGTAGAAAAGATTTTTCTTGTATAAACTTGTCAGTATACTCATGCAAAACGTTTATGTTACTTTCTTGACAAAACAAGCTACTCGCATCAAGGGTTATTTTTTCTGGAAGAAATCTATGCAAAGTCTGAAATGCTTTCTGTTCACTCTGTCACAAAGGTATAAAGTATTTTCCTAAACTTAGCCTCCTAAAATAAGAAAAACTTAGACTTTTTTCCTCTCTCTTTTCTCACACTTCCTTTCCCCTAGCATTCCTTTTCATCTGTCCATCTTCTTTGCATAAAACCACCGACATAGTTTTAATTAAAGAATAAAAGAAATTAATCTCAGGCAGAAGTAAAGTCTGGAATGCATTACTAAATTTGCTGAGTGAAATTGTAAGAAATCAGAAAGGAAGCAGGCAGATACTGCATACACAATCCTCCTTTAAAATATTACTAAATACAATACTAGTTTCAATCCTGATCCAAAAGAACTACTGTATTTCTCTTCTACAAACTGAGATCTTGATTTCATAAATACTTGACAAAAGATACCTCTAGACTCAAAATCAATTATAGCACTCTATCATCTCACCATCACTTTTGGGCAGCAACTGTGACATAACTAACTGACTAGGAAAACCAGTTATTCGATCAATCAAACATCTTGTTTTGACATGTGAAAGTGACTGCACGCTGTCTGCTGAACAAGCTGCCAGCTTGCACTTCTAAATGAAAGAATTACTAAATAATTGACAAATGTGATGTACAATTGAAAGTGAAATGTGTCTTTTCCCTCACATATGTTCATACATCCATGAAGGAATACGCCTAAGAAGCATGATAGAGCAAAAGAAATTAATATTCTGTTCAACACATAATACAGCCAAATCCTTTCTTACTGTTTCCACCCAGCAAGCTGCAGTTTACATTCTTCACTTTATAAAATTCTCACAGCTCTTCAGCAGCAAACAAAAGGAAGGTAAGACCAGGAGCTATTTTTAGTTTCAGCCTCAAGTTAGACCTGGAAGTCTTTCACTGCCCCAAGGATTTTTATTAAAAGATTAGATCAGCAATTTAACTGACATTTACAATGACAAATTATAAGCCATGAATTACTACTACTCAAAAACACACAATGGAGCAATCATTTTCTCATCGAGAAACCAAACAGGAAGCATAAGTTGCTATGGGACAAGTCAGCTTCATTAATTTATTCCCAGACTGATGCAAGCTTTCTCTCAAGCTTCCTAGTTCACTTCTCAGATTCCAAATCATCTCATCTGTACCCAACAATTATATTGGTCTAATTTTGTTCTTCCCAAAAGATCTTTCTGTGGTTCTTCTTCATGATGCCTAGGCCAGAAAATAGTATTATTTCTTGCTTTTTTAAAGTTTAGAGAAGAGTTATGAGGTAAATTAGGAAGGAAACAGAAGCACCATCAAAATAAACTATCTCACCTTATTTCCTTCTTCTTTGACTTGAGGATTTATGAGTTTTATAAATGAATAGAACAGCTGTCGAATTCTAGAATCTCCTATAAACACAATATGTTTGTCTATGAGGCAATTTTTTGCTTCACTGTAAAACAAAACAGTAACATTCATGTTACAGGAAATTTATATTTTAGGAAAAAGTCTTTAGAAAATCTACAGAGCAATACAGATAATTCTAAGCATTACATCCAGCTCTAAGGAACGTTAAATCTTTTTTAAAACATGCTGGATTAATAAAAAGTTTAGTGTAGTTTGCATAGAAATGAAAAAGAACTCTCCTGCTAATGTGATTAGGCAAACAACCAAGCAGACTTTCCTATTCTGTGCTGCCACAAACATAATAGTTTCAAAATGGTACTATACGCCATAATTCTAAAAAGAAAAGTTCTCTTACTAGTACGTGAAAAAAGGTGATTCATAATTTTATTTGGGATTTTTTTATTTGTGATTCTACACATAAGGTCAGTATTTTCCCTTTAGCAATCTGAGAGTGACATATGAAGCCATGCGGTCTCCTGCAGTATCCTGTGGCTCTCCAAAACACGTACCAGTACTACTATCACCAGCATTTATTTGTGTTTTTATATATAAATACAACTATCGTAAACACTGTAGACACACAGATAACGTACAAGGAAAAGACTTCCTTCTGATAAATGTTGCATATTTTTGGAAGCCTAGAGAATCAGCTATAAAGTGAAAAATAGATGACGCTGCAATTACTAAAGCTGCAGTCAAATGACGACTCTTCCTTCCAGGCAGATGAACACAAGACATGAGTTTCCTTACCTGTTTTTATACTTATGCATCATACAACTGTGGGGTTGCCATACTTTTCCTCCAAGAAATCTCCCACTGGACAGAAGATACTCACACGTATCACCACCTTTAAAATGTTATATTAAGATTAGAATTCAGACAGATGAAAGTTAAAACAGCTCCATTGCTATTAAAAAAATAATTTGACAACATTTGAAACACGGGAATTGAAACAATCAATAGCAGTAAACAAATTTAACTTATTGGAAAAACACCTTGCACAAGTTTCTGCAAATTGTCTTCTCACTTATCATACCACACTTCTCTGTAAATCACTCCTCTATCCACAAAATGTTAGTGATCCCATTTCTGCTGTCAGAAAGATGTTGTGACCTAGAATGGTGTTTCCACCAAAAGATGCCAATCCACGGTGCTATCAACTATTCAGAATACACTAACATGAAATTAAAGAATACAACAGCTCAATATAATAATCTTGTACACAGAATCACCATACACAGCATCTTGTATAGAACGTGAATCTCAACAGGAGATTTGCAAGAAAGTCTATTACAACTCCTTGCTTAAGACATAGCGGTCACCTTAGAACAGGTGAAATGACATGCTGGATTAACATGCAAAACAAAAAAACATTTACACTAGAAGTTACTGATCATTCTGAACTGCAGGTACCTTTTCCAGTCAAGAAGTTTTACACTAATTAAGATTAATCACTTTACAGGTGGTGATGTTTCAGGTCACTTTAAGTTCATATAAATAAAATACCTCAGTTATGAAATCAGTGACTGTTACCTTCCGGCAAATTCCATGTCAGATTCTGCTGCCTTATAACTGAACACCACTGAACACCATTCACTGACAGGGAAGTTGCCCTCCAACATTTTTGTCATACTTGGCATTTCAGAGCACTGACAAACAGGGAAGCAGTGATGAACAAAACGGCAGGTACCTGTGCTAGCTTGTGCAGAAACAATGGACCACAGCCCATACTTAAAACTGTCTGTGAAACCTTGACTTCATTAAGCTCAACGGAGAACTACTCTTTTACTCCACCAAAACTTGCACTAATTCTAATGAACAGGGTGTTTTCTATCTACTTTTTCTTTTCAGGGCTGCTGGGAGCCACGCATAGAGACAAACTTTCTGCTTCAATTATGATGAGGAAATCTGAAGCTTTATCTAGAACTGCAAATTAGACAAGATGAACAGAAAGACATGTAGGCAGTGTGAGGTCTGAAGTCTGCAGGAATGGGAATTTACAAGGTGCCACTGATGTCTACTGAGACCTAAGCTCACAGACCTCAAAGATCAGTGCTACAGTAAAGCTTTTAGGATAAAGAGACAGAGCCATGGTATCATTTCCCTTGTGCTTTAACAAAGGCTTTCACAAGACCACAGTCCAATCAATTAAAAAAAAAATAAAATAAGGTATACAGCATAAAGAAAGACTTTCTGTGTAACATTCTGATAAGAAAACATATCCTAAGTTGTGGTCCTAAGATCACAGTGAAAGCTAACTATGCACTGAACTAACTCATTTTTTGGTTCGTTTTTGAGGTTTTTTCGAGTTGGACACAGGATAATTGGGAAAATGACTTATTTCCATGATTTCCCAATTATGGGAAGAATGACAACAGTATCTATATTGAAGCAATTTTTCTATAAACATTTTAGACCTATGGGTAATAAACTTCAGAAAACATCAATAACTACTCGGATGATGGAAACATACCTGTATTTCCAACAAAAATGGAACTAGGATCTTTATAATCCTGCATGATCACAGATCTTTCCACATAACTCTTGCATTAACATTGGCAATGATGTTGCTACTCTAGCTTCTGAGCTGATACTCAGCTGCCTGCTCCTTCACAATCCACCCAGAAAAACAAAAGGTAAGGTTCCCCGTCTATAAAGCTGAAAAAATGTTACAAAAAGCATTAAACAAAATACACATTTAAAGTATAGCTGACACCCAAAACTCTTAGTTCTCTCTTACTGCAAAACTCTAGCTCTCTTCTACTTAGGATGCATGAAGAACATTTCAGATATAGAAGTACAGACAATGCAGCTCATGTATGCCGCTTCTTGAAAAAGAATATAAAATTAGCTTAGAGGAAGGAAGAAGTGGCAGCTGAAGACATCTTCTATCCCTGCCTTCCTCCCTGAAACTCCTCCTACCTGTTTTCATGAAAATCAGAAAAAGGCAGAGTAGAACAGACTGTATTATAACTGTTACTCCTTGGCTCATTTATCCAATCAAACCCAGCAGTAGTAAAACAATCAAGTAGTATTATTTACTAAGGTTCCTCATTCCCTCATTTCAAAATGCAACTCTAACAACCAGATTTATTACTTCAATTATTTACCACTGCTATTGCATTGTGACTACTCAAAAAGCTGGAATAACATGAAGAATTATAACAGGCTTGAAAAAGGTCTGGATAAACATCTGAGAGTCATAGCTCTGGGTTTGGGTTGGTTCTCCATGAGCAAGCCACATGACACACTCCTAACACACAACATAAAATGGCTTTATTAAAACTGTCATTCTTTACTCCCTATCTCTTCAGTTTTGGGAGCTCTTGGTCAGGTAGATTTTGACACATAGAAGAAAAATGTGTTAAAAATGTAAATAAAATAAATACATACAGTGATAAGCTCCTATTTCTATCACCAATAAAAGCCTATTAATCACCCCAGGGTAGTTCAGGAAATCCCTCAAATCAACGAGTAACCTCTTATGCAAATCCTTGAGATACCACAAATCAAATTGACACTTCCTTGCTAATCACAACGCACATGCACTATCCGTGTCAAACTGACTAATAACTGCATAGCAGCAATGGGATATGGTAAATGGCCAGACACAGAGGGTTACATGCTTCTGAAAAGCAGTTCTCATGAAAGTATGCTGAGACTGCAGATGTAGGCTGAACTCAAGAGGTCCCAGAAAGGTAGTCTCTGTAACTCTCCTATTTTTCAACCAGTACAGGTCACTCCAGGTCAGCAACATTATCTTTTTTAACTCCAGTCTGTGTTTCATTATTCAGTACAGTGCCATTTCTGAAAAGATTAAAGAAAAGATCTTCCAGAAGCAGTTTATGAATGCCTTTCTCCTCTTCTTTCAACCATTGCTACTCGTAAGACAGCTCCTGATCCTGCTGACAGAACTTCTGCAGAAGTAGCTCAGACCACAGCAGAGGAGATGGAAAGCTGAATCTTTACCTACTTTTTAAATATGTTGGCACAGCTCAGATTTGCTGGACAGACATCTTTGTAGCAGAAATAATGAATTCAAATGACCATAGTTTTAGTTTTTCTCAATCGTTTCAAATAACATCCTGTTTCTATACTTTGGCTTTCAAGCAATATAATTTCCTTGATTCTCAAACATAAACACTTACGTAAACAATCATTTTGAGTAAGTTGTATCAAAATGAAACTGTCAGAAATAATAAAAAAACATTATCAAACTCACATTGCTTGTGATTAGATTATGAGAATAGGTGACTTACAGTCATTACAGCCACTACTACAAAGCCCTCCACTTTGCAAATAAGGAAAATTAGCAGATACATCAGAATGATGTAGAAGTGAACTAGGCAAAAGAAAACCCACCACTAATTAGACTCCCTCTGAAATTCATTACTTTGCTGAGGAACATGCATAAGAAAATAAGGAGAGTTATTCAGTCAGACCAATGGCCAGTCTATCGTGGTATTCTGCCTTCCACAGGGGCCATAAGCAGATGCTCAGGAATGAAAAGGAAGAGGACAAATGAACATGATGTTCTTGTCCAATAGTCTTCCAGCTATGTTCAGTCCAGGAGCTTCCTGAGCTGAACATGGTTTCTACATATTTTGTAAAACCTTCCATAGATTTCTTTCTGACAAAGTCATACAGTCTTCTCTTCAATTTTTTAGCATCCACAGCATCCTTCTACAAGAGTTTTCCACACCCGCAGATGCTGCTTGAAGAATCACATGCCTTTAATTTAAATATAGTTTCTACTAGATTTACTTGGCACTCCCTAGCTCTTCCATAGGAAGAGACAGTTCACACTTATGTCTATCATGATTTGTAGACCACTGTGAGAGTCGGTCCGAAGTTGGCCCAAAAGAACAGTAATGTCTCAACATCATCAATAGCAAGGATGCCAACAGCCAAGGAGGGAGTACAGTATGGTACGGAAAACACTGTACTGTTCTCCACTACCTGGGACTGAAGGTAACAGCTGTCAAGGAAGACAGAATACTGTTCTCCACTACCTGGGACTGAAAGTAACAGTCGAGATAAAACCACTTTCCATCTGTCAAAGAAGATGGATCTCACCTGCTGTCTCAGCAACAGGCAAGAAAACTTGAGCCTTAGGTGAACTTTCCTCATGATAATATGAAAAACACACCTCCTAGCCGGAGGCTAACCTCCTCCACGGCAAACCACGCCTAAGACACTCCTCCTTCAGCATTCGCAGAAGTCTTGCTTGGGGAGGCGGAGGGAAGGCGGAGGTTGGCAGTGGTCCATGGGACAGAGGAGGGAGCAAGGTGTGTTGCTCAGCATAAAAGATGCTCCTTAACAACCAAAGTTTGGAAGCTTTCCCCACCGGAGATCACAACAATCAGAAGGACCGACGGGACGCTGCCAGACCTGGGACCACAGGGACGCCTTGGACCCGTGGTGGTAGCTATAATTCTCTCCCTCTCTCCTTTTACTTTACCTTTTCTTTCCCTCTTCACTCTTTTTACCTATCGCACACCGCTTTACGGGCAACATAATAAAGTTACACTGATTGACTGAAACAAAACCCCTTTGGCGTTTTCGCCTTTGTTTTTTGCACTTCAAGACCGGAGTTTAACGAACCATCATGAGTCCACCGAGTGGACCGTGACAACCACTATCTATCCTTCCTCAAGCAAGTTTTCAAGACTGAAGAATCTTAGTTTACTAATTCTTCATAGGAGAGTGTGTTCTGTATCTTGAGTTCATGACCCAAGCTTGGAAGCTTTCACTCCATGGCACTCCCATCATAATTACCCACAAATAAAACAACCCTCCATTCAACAGTAAGTTTACTGAAATAACATTCCAAACATCACACACTGTA